ATGTGTAGAGGTGCGTGTGTGTTTTGTGTATGTTGTATGTGTGGTGTGTATAGATGTGTGTGTGTGTGTGGTGTGTATAGTGTGTATAGTGTGTATAGAGGTGTGTGCCACTATGTATGCATACAGGCCAAAGGAAGATATCAGATGTCTTGGTCTATCCCTGTCTTATTCCCTTGAGACAGGGTCTGTCATGAAATCTGGAGCTAGGCTGGCAGCCATCAAGCGTCAGGGATCCTCCTGTCTCTACCTCCCCACCACACTGGGGTTAAAGGCGCATGTGGCCTTACCTGACTTTCTGTGGGTGCTGATAATTGGACCGAAGCTCTCTTGCTTATGCAGCAAGTGCTGTTACACACTGAGCATCTTCCCAGCTTTAATAAATAGAGATTTTGTGACAAAAAAGAGTGGATTTTCAAGATCTAAGGAAAGAGAAGAATTTGAAGTCATAAATATAGTCATTTATGCAACGGGGCTGGTTTCCTGATTCATATTTCAGTGTTTTATAAATGTTACTACTCTAACCTTGGAACCCCTGCAATATATTTGTTTTTTCTTTTTTTGAGATGTTCATTTTCCAAATGAGTGAATCGTTCTAATTGGTTTTTTTTTTTTTCCCTTTTCTGTGACGAAGACCTAAAAAGTGAGTAACTTTCTTTTTTAATATAACTAACATTTTTCTGAGTATGAACTTCATTGAATGCAAAAAAAAAAAAAAAAAAAAGAAGCCTATGAGTTGTTTTGTCTTCTTAGATCCAAGTTAATCAGAGTGGAAAATTTTGAAGCCTACTTTAAGAAACAGCAAGCTGACTCCAACTGTGGATTTGCAGAGGAGTATGAGGTATGTAGTTGTAAACTGTGTTTTCATTGATTTCTGTTGTTCATCTTATGGTGTAGCTTTGGGTGAGAGGGAGCCATTTAAAAGGGGAGAGAGAAGCTTGTGCCTTCCCTGCAGGGATTTCACTGTTGGCCAGGAAGTTCATATGGACCTTCGCTTTTGGTAGAGTATGTGTTTAATCTTATGGATACCTGAAGATGTTGGGGGGGCGGAGGGAAGAGATTAGAGAATGAAGTTAGGAGACTGTTAACTAGAATTATTAGTAAACTATATGAACACTACAAAGAAACCAGATGGGATATTCAGAGATCTGGGGATTGATGCCGATTCAGGAGGATTATGGGAACCCTTTGGAAGGAGTTTCTTGGCCAGTTTCTTGCCTTCCAGTCTCTACGTCCTTCTGTCCCTCAGACTAGCCCAGGAATTATCGCTCAGAACGTGCATGCACACTTGTCTTCCACATGCTGCTGCTGTTGTGGATTCTCTGCTTTCGTACCCCCTAGAATCCTGCCTACACTCCAGCTGTGACTCTTACATTGCCTCTACCTGTTGTTTCCTCAGATTGCACCAGGACTCAGTCTTGGTCTTTGCTGTGTCTGTCCTCACACTGCCTAGTACCATCTGTGACATGCTGTGTTACCAGTGTTGATGGGTTCCTCATCTGTCTTACTCTGCCCTGTCAGGCTCGTGACTCCTGTCTCTACCTCTCCTCTAGGTTTTTAGCCCCTAGAAGGCAAGAGTGATCCATTTTCTTTCATGTTTAGCATCTCTTAGTTTCCTAGGACTGCCCTAACAAAGGACCATAAACTGAATGGCTTAAAGCAACAGAAATTTATTGTCTCACTCTTCTGGAGGAAAGCGGTTCAAAATCAAGTTGTCAGCAGGAAACCTTTGGCTTCTGGGGGAGATCCTTCCATGCTTCTGGAAGGGTCCTTGGTTTGGGGGCAACATGGCTTCCATCTCCACTATCATTTGGTGTCCACTCTTGTGTGTCTGTGTCTCTGTCCCTCTTCACCAATGTTAGGTTAATGACCTACTCTATTTCAGTGTGACTTCATTTTAACTTGATTGCATCTGTGACAACCAAGTTTTCTGATAGGAGTCTAGTCATAGGTATCAGCAGTTAGACTCAGCATCTCTCTTCAGTTCACATCAGTTAACCCATTTTACCTCTGCATTCCTCCTTTGTTCTACACCCTAGGCTCCATGCAAATAAACAACTTACCTCCCTTTTGTTTTCAGGATCTGAAGCTGGTTGGAATAAGTCTACCTAAATATGCAGCTGAAGTGGCAGAGAACAGAGGAAAGAATCGCTATAATAATGTCCTGCCCTGTAAGTGATTTTATCTACACCACCTTTTCTTTGTTATTGGTCCTTACATCTTGAACAGTGAGAGGAGAGGAACCAGTGGTACCCATTAGCTATTTCCACCACTATTCAGTTCTAGGTATTTCCCCAACCTTTCACCTGCTGTGTGCTCAGTGCTGTATTTAGGGACATTATGTCTAATTTGATCCTTATAACTTCAAATTAGGAAGTAGGTTGTAGAATATTCATTTTGCAGACAAGAAAAACAAGCCACAGTATTAGAAGACTTGTCCAAGGTCACACAGGTAGTAATAGCAGACCTGGACTTTGGACCAGTATGTGTCTCATTCAGGGAAAAGACCAGACCGTGAGATCTTAATCCACCCTCTTCTTCTTTCTGCTTATTCCTTCTGTTTGTATAATTCTGGCTGAAAGAGGACAGCAGGAAAACTCTCTGCTTGTCCAGATGTATCTTTGATTGGGCATGTTATACAAATAAATATGAATTATAGTGAAGTCCTTTCCTACTTTTGAGGATGACCAATGTTTGTACTAGTGCTGGTTTGTTTTGACTGTCAACTTGACACAATTTAGAATCACCTGGAAAGAGTGTCTTAATGAGGAATTACCTAGACCAGGATTGCCTGTGGGCATTAGGCATGTCTTTGGGGATTGTCTTGATTATTGATTGATGTAGGAAGGCCCAGCCCATTATGGGTAGCACTGGGTAGTCCTGAGCAGTGTCCTGGGAGCCAGTAAGGATCCATGCTTCATTCTCTCTGCTCTTGACTGTGGATGTGTGCTTTAAGTTCCTGCTCTGACTTCCCCAAATAATGGACTGTAACTTGGAGTCATAAGTCAGATAAACCCTTTACTCCTCCACAATGCTTTTTGTCAAGGTGTTTTATCACAGTGCCATAAATGAAACGAGAACAGTGCTCCATTAACAGGGATGATAACACATTGAGGTGTAAAGGAGAATCATGTGTTACATTGTCTTTAGAAGGGAGTATAAATTCTCCTCCAATGGGAAGTCCATCGTAGACTCTTGTTGGGGTGGGAATTAGGGCACAGAGGGAAGTGTCAGTGGAGCACAGTCATGCTGATTTCACTGAAGGTGATTGGCTTTGTGGGTAATTTTTACACAGGGTCATTCAATGTGTGTCTTTATTATTTGAAGCCATGGTTTTCTATTAATTCATGCTTAGAAAACTGTTTTCCAGGTCCTAGGTTCTTTTCCTGTTTCCTTGCCTGATTCTTTTTAAGTGGTCTTGGCCCTGCTTAGAGAGAAGTGCTTTTAAAATCAGGCTGGGAGAGCTGCCTTCGTTCTGCTCCTCTAAGACTTAACTCAGACCTTTGGCCTGCTCTTGTAAATGACCTTGGGGAATTCAGGTCTGGCGTGAGGGCTGGGAATTTGCCGTGTGGGTATTGTTTTTCTCAGGAATTCTTTCAGCTGAGACTCATGTTGGTAATGGGTTTGTATTGCTTGTGTTACTCTGTACTAGGGAGGGTGAGGTGGTAACGGCAGAGACAGGGAGCTTCCCTAGTACTGCTGCCCATGGCTTATCCTAAGAGTTGGAGTTCCTCTGTGATTATGCTTTCAGAGGTGGGCATGTTTGTGTGTGCGTGCTTTCTAAATGACACAGAGATGTTCAGAAAACATGAGAAGTTTATATCTTATTTTAAAAATTATTAGTTAATTTATGTGTGCTCGCTACAGCAGAGGATAACCTATAGGAGTTGGTCATCTCCTTCTACTGGGTGGGTCCTGGGGATGGAGCTTGGGTTGTCAGACTTGGCAGCAAGTATCTTTAAGCCCTGACCCTGTAACAACTTTTAAATAAAAGACTAGAGGCAGTGGGTAAGGTTAACCCAGCATCTTCCCTGCCATGGTTGATCAGGCACTGGATTTGAATTCTGTCTGTTCCTCCCCAGATAGAAGGACTTGGAGACAACACTTCATCTCTGAAACTCAGTTTCCTCATCTGTAAATAGGGTGAAACCTGTGGGGTGGGTTTGAGGTGTGAATAAAGTTGCTTAGCACATACCCCACTCCCCGAAGACACCCATGGCTGCTGGTATTAACGGCCTTGCTTTGTCTTGAGAAGATGGTATAGCTATAACATAGACTGTGCTGTTAGACTGCTTGGATTCAGATCTCAGCTCTAGCAGTGGTGCAGCTCCTCTGTGCCTAGTCATACACAGCATCCATGAGAATCAAATGAGGTCGTGGATGCAAAGTGTGAGGCTTGTTCCAGGACTGCCATTTTATACTTCTTAAAATTTCATGTGTGCAAGTTTCCTGAAACTTCACTTCTGACGAGAACCCTTCTTTCTTTTAATGCCACAGATGATATTTCTCGAGTCAAACTTTCAGTCCAGACCCATTCAACGGATGACTACATCAATGCCAACTACATGCCTGTAAGTGGGTCTCATAGCACCCAGCTGTTCTCGTGATAAGAACATTGCCTTTTGTTTCTTTGATGCTGACTAAATTTTGATTTCTAGGGCTACCATTCCAAGAAAGATTTCATTGCTACCCAAGGACCTCTACCGAACACTCTGAAGGATTTTTGGCGTATGGTTTGGGAGAAAAACATATATGCCATTGTTATGTTGACCAAATGTGTGGAACAGGGAAGGGTAAGTATCTTTTGAAAAAAAAAATGAATTTTTATACTGGTAGAAGAGTGTCTTAAAACCCATTTGTAAAGAAGCAGTCTTCCCAAACATTTGTATCTTCATCTTTGGAAAATTTTTTGTATTTTTAGCTTTTAAGAGCGGTTTTAAAAAAATCTTGAAGAAAGGCATAATTTGTTTTGTTCCTTTGTGGGCTCATGTTAATGTCTGTAATTGGATCTCTGATGGTGGAGTTAGTGAATGGGTGGAGAGGGTTAGTGCAGTGTGGAGAACCTCAGGCTTGGAGTGAGGTATTGGGAGAACCAAATTACTTGGTCTGTCATCAGCTCTGTGCCTGTGAGCCTGCTCATCCTGTCTCTAAGCAACCAGCTCCAATTATGAAATCTCTGATTTCCAAACTTAGTTTTTAGCACTGAGCCCACTTTTTACAGCAAAACTTCAGATATATCTCCAGATGAGTCTCAGCAGCTCCCTGACTTCTCTGTGGCCTGGAAATCTCTTGCTGTTTCTGTCACAGATAAGATTTCTTCTAGGAATAAAATGCTGTATGTTCATAAATGGATGTGAGAAGAATTGGAAATCACATGCTAAACTAAAAAATTGTGTACCTGAGAAATGGGACTTACTATTCATGAAGAATTACTAATTACTATATTATTTGGTGTTGAGGAGTGAACTCAGGGCCCTTGTCCATGCTAAACATATGTCCTACCATTGAGTAACACCTCAGCCATTAGTGTGCTTTTGAGATAGGGTCTCCTCTGTAGAGCAGGCTGGCCTTCAACTTGTAGCAGTGCTCCTGCCTCAGCCTCCCAAGTGCTGAGATTACAGTCATGAGCCACCACACATGGCATAAGCTTTTAAAAAAAAATTAATTCATTTTTTAAAGTGTAGATTCATTTCTTGAGGAATAAGAGTTGGTCCCTGAGCCAGTGGTGCCCACTTTCTCTGGTCCATCACCGTCACCTGCAGGGTGGTTCTATACTCAGTGCCTCTTGTTAAGAACTGCGTTTCTGACAGCTCTCAGGTGCTGTGGCTCCTGCTGTCCTAGGTGATCACAGGAACCCATCAAACATAATTTTTAAAAAACATTTTATGTGTATGATATGTGTATGTAAGTGCAGAAGCACACGTACCACAGTGTGCGTGTGGAGTTCAGAGGACAACTTTCATGAGTTGGTTCCAGAAATGGGATCTGGATATGAGACTGAGGTCTTTAGGTGTGCACAGTAAGTGCTTTTACCTGCTGAGCTGCCTTGCCAGCCCACACCAGTTCTTTGAATGTTAAGTCACTTCAGGTTAGCAGGTATTTGTGCAACAGCACATGTGCTAGGGGCCGGAGTGAAGGACGGAGAGCAACAAGAGGCAGTGAGTGACGGAGCCCTTCTCTGTGTTGCTCATGATAAGGAGAGTGGGAGTTCTGGACCTTTCCCTGCATCAGGAGAACAGGCTGTCGCGGAAGTGAAAGAACACGGCTTTATTAGTGCAAATAAATTTTATAGAACTGCACAACCTAGGGCCTTGTGCACAGAGCGTTCACGTAACTCTGTTAGACAAACAAGAATGATATGGTTGCCTGTGGGGAGGACACAGAGATGAGCACAGATGGGCCTTTGCTCATCTTAGGTCAAGATAGAAGTGGGTGTTGCTGCCTGGGTGAGAGAGAGGGAAACCAGTGCATTTTCTGCACTGGATACTTCATTTTGTTAGAACTCTCCTATGTCAGTCCTGGAGGCATGGGAGAAGCAGGTGCTCAGGGAGCTTAAGAACTTGCTTGCAAACTGGCAACAAAAGTGCAGTTAGCAAGATGAATAAAGTCCATGTTAGAGCATGTCTAAGTCATATTTGTTCATAGAACACTTTTTCAGAAACTAAGATCTTTAAAAAAAAAAAGACAGATTTCCTAGCCAGAGTCAGAAGCTCTGGAATAAGGAGACACAAGTATTTATTCTTCAAATAAACCTCTCAGGTAAGTCAGATAATCAGTACGTTTGAAACCACCTGCAGTGGTGTAGGACTTCTTCATTCCAGTTTCAGAGGTCTCAGCCCTTCAGGGTGGAGTGGGCATCATGGAACAGAGCTCTTCAACTCATGGCAGTCAGGATGAGAAGCTCAGCATAACAGGAAGTGGCCAGGGCAAGACATGGCTCCCAAAGACATGCCCCTGGTGAACAGCGTCCTCTCCCCAGGTCCACTTTCCATAGCTCTAACACCTCCCAGTAGTCTGTTCAGATTCTGAACCCATTATGGAATCATCTCTGGAGAAGCCTTCACAGACACACCCAAGGTGTGCTTACTAATCTAGGTATTTCTCAGTCTGATCAAATTGATGGTCAAGATCAGCCATCACACATCTATTTACCAAGCTCATCAAGGTTGAAGACCCTCAAATGACTTAATTTGATCCCCTTTATTGGTGTATTTGTACTTCAAGTAGTGTGCATTGGAAAGTAGTGGGGAAAGTTCTCATCTTTTCTAGCTGTTTGGCGTTATGGATCCATCTGAGAAGCTTAGTTGAGTGAATGGTTATAGAAATGCTATTCAGAGAGAGCTGAATGGGAACCGTGTCCCAGGTGGGGGATGGCTGCTACTGCTCTAAGGCAAATTTCATGCAGACCTGGTTAGTTGGTGTTTATAGATCTTTTGACTTTTAAAAGTGATTCTGAGTTTTCGTGCAGAGTTGGCCTTTGGCTGGAGAGATTGCTCAGCAGTTAAGAGCACTGAGTGTTCTTGCAGAGGGCCTGGGTTTAGTTCCCAGCAGTCACATGATGGCTCACAACCATCCATAACTCCAGCTCCAGGGATTTGATGTTCGTTTGGCTTCCTTGGGCATTGCACACATATGGTGTGCCTGTGTACATGCAGGCAAAGCACTCATACACATAAAATAAAAATAAACCAATCAATCAATCAATCAATCAAATCAATCAAAGAGTTGGCCAAGAATTGTAAGTTGAAGAGCAGTTCTGAGGGTTCAGTAGAACCCAGCTAAGGGACTGACCAATTCCACTATCAGTTTTCATGACTTACTCTGACTCGTGAGGTTTTAGTGAAGGCAGGTGTGTGATCTGAATGTTTTCATAAACATGAACTTATATTCTAGACCAAATGTGAAGAGTACTGGCCTTCTAAGCAGGCTCAGGACTATGGAGACATAACAGTGGCAATGGCTTCTGAAGTTGTTCTTCCGGAATGGACCATCAGAGATTTCACAGTGAAAAATGTAAGTCAAGATAGAGCGTAGAAAATTACTGGATATTAATTTGAGGACTATGTTTTTAGATTGCTAGTAAATTTGATGCATCAAAAAAGTAGTTGTATTTTCTTGTTTATAGGGTTAAAAAAATTCCCATCTAGTGACACTCTAAGGCAATGCTTAGCTTTACTTTCTTGAGGAGACTTTCATATTATTCCTGATTAAAATGAAGCTTAAGTGTGTGGCTCTGTGCCAGTAACACTTTCCTTTCCTTCCACTCTGGGTGACTTGATCATAGAGTTTTTATTACAAACCGAAGGCCTTTCAGGTTATCTGGTTGGGGCTATGTGTCAGAGTTTGACACTTGCTGTTTGGAACAGTTTATAATAGTTGTATAATCAGATTCTAGGGCATATGCACTAACCTTCTTTCCCCTGAAAGTCACAAAAACAAATCCAGTTAAATCATGTAGGCATTCTAGGAAGTTGAATTCATGTGTCTTTTTCTTCCTTTTTATCCCCCAAAGTTTTTATACTTTTATTAAAGGTATGAAAAATATATTCACTAACATTTTTTTCAGTATATATATATTTTGAAGTATATACATACAAATTATATGAATCCCTAATAGTATATGAAAATGTTGAAAGGAATAGAAGATAATATATTTAATGACCTTGTGTTATTTGGCAGTGTTGGTTGGGGTGAGTTTTGTCTCTCTCTTTTTTTTTGGAGGGGGTATCTTTTTGAGTCAGGTTCTCCCTGTAGCCTCAGCTGGTCTGGAACTTGCTTGTAAACCAGACTGGCCTTGATCTCAGAGATCCATCTGTGTCTATCTTCTGAGTGCTGGGATTAAAGGCATGAGTGACCATGCCTGGTTAATGTCTCTTTTTTAAATTAATTAATTATTTTAAAAACATTTTATTTTTATTTTATGTGTATGAGTATATTATCTGCGTGTGTGTAACTGCACCCGTGTCATGCAGTGATGGTAGAGGTCAGAAGAGGGTGTCAAATCCTCTGGAACTGGAGTTAAAGATGGTTGTTAGTTGCCATGTGGGTGCTGGGAATTGAACCTGAGTCCTCTTCAAGAGCAGCCAGTGCTCTTAACTGCTGAGCCATCTCTCCAGTCCCAGTGTCTCTTTTTTTTTTTTTTTAAAAAGAGTAAGTGCATAAAATGGGTTTAATGTCTTGTAGCTCATATTGAGGGCCTAAAAATCCCAACCCTTTTGATCTGGTGATCTCAAGTTCATGTATCTAACATAAAGAAATAATCTGAAATGCAGGAATAGGCTCATTAGTTAGGATCAACCTCCACATTATTAATTTATTTATCAACATTTAGGAGTGTTTATTTAGAAGGAATAGCTCCTTTTCTTTAAATAAATAAGCATTTTGTGTTTATGTTTTTTATTTCTCTTTGGGTATGTCTAGTATTTGCTGATTTTTAAATTATATAGTCTTGGTAATTTCATACATGAATACAATGCATTTAGATATATCAACTATCAAAATTATTTATAATGGTGGAAAAATTTGGAAGCCACACACATCTAGGTTTTGAAGAATGGGTAACTAAACTGTGATTCCCCTGCTTTTACTGTACCGTTTATCCAGCTGTTAGAACCGCTGTATGTGTAGACTTCATAATCCAGCCCTCTTCATCCCTGCTGGAGTGGTACAACTCTGAATTCAATTAACCTGGGATTGAAAATATTCAGAATAAAAAGTGTGCCTGTTTTTGAACATGTACAGTTAGGGTCATTATTCCCTAAATGATAGTGTATAACAACTATTTGAACTCTATTAGGTAATATAAGTAGTTAGAAATTATCCAGAGTATAATTAGAGGGATGTGGTGGCACATGCCTTTAGTCCCAGCACTCAGGAGGCTTAGGTAAGCATATCTCTGTGAGACTGAGGCCAGTCTGATCTAATAGTGAGTTCCAGGCCATCTGGGGCTATAGGGAGATCCTGTCTCAAAAAGAAAGTATAAACAGAGGAGTGCCTCTGTGTGAACATCATGGAGTATACTTACACAAAACTGGACATACTATAGCCTATTGTACGTCTGAGCTGTGTAGTACACATTGTTGTATATGTGGTCTGTTATTGACCAAAACATTGTGCATAACAGTGACTAGGAGGGTATGTGTAGGTTACGTGCACATATGCTTCAGAGACCTGAGCATTCAGAGTTTTATATCTGTGGGGGGTCCTGGAGTCAATTCCCCACGGATCCTGAGACATGACTGTAATTACCATGAGGATATGTTAAAATGTAATATCAGTGATACACACTAGGAGATAGTTTTTTTTTTTTTTTTTTTTTTTTTTTTTTTTTTTTTAAAAAAAAAAAAAAAAAAAGAGGACGATAAATCTTTCACTGTGATATATCAAAATAACTCACAGAGATCCACCTGCCTCTGCCTCCCAAGTGCTGGGACTACAGGTGTGTGCCACCATGCCCGGCAAGACAAAGTTTAAAAAAAAATATTATTTTATTTTATGTTTATGAGTGTATTGCCTGCATATGTGTAAGTGTACCTGTGCTGTGCAATAACCAAGGAGGTCAGAAGAAGGCATTGGATCCCCTGAAACTGGAGTTACGGATGGTTGTTAGCAGCCATGGGGGTGATGGGAATTGAACCCAGGTCCTCTGCAAGAGCAACCAGTGTTTTTAACCACCGAGCCATGTCTTCAGCCCCAGAGATAAAGTTTGAGACAGTGTCCTACTGAGTAGCCCAGGCTGGCCTCAAACTCATGATCCTTCTAGCTCAGCTTCCCAACCACTGGGTTTATAGGCATGTGTCACTGTGCCAGGCTTGGGGCAATAGATATTATGAGTAGTAAGTAAAAGAAAAGCTGATAATTAGATTCAGTGGTGTTACATTTTATCAGGGTTTCGGTTAGGTTCTAGTTTACAAGAATTATCCTTGGGTATTCCTCAAGTGATAGATCAGACACAGTATTAAGTTTTTATTAGTTACTGTGTTCTGAAGACTCTGGCCTCAGGGAATCTTTCAGTTCTTCCTTTGACGATATTTACTGTGTATTGATTTGGCTACATAAATTCACAGTGGTTGAAAAACCTTTGAAATACATCATGCATATTTTTGTAGGTTTTGCCCATTTAAATTGACTGACTTATCCATGGTTGCTTCTGCTTGGGGTTTATCCTTGTGGATGGGAAGGGTGTGTGCGTAATTGCCTAAATAATTAAAAAATGTTATTTTCTTATTTTTATTAACAAAACTCCACAGATGGTAGAGAGTCGTTTTCCTCTAAAGCCTTTTCTTATTCTAGCATCCAGTCCAGGCTTCCACATGGCATTTTGTAAGATAGTATTTTATAATTATGTGAAATGGTGTGAATACATTTTCCTTTTATAGAATAAGAACATTAAAATAGAGCTAACAGTTTCTTTTGACTGCCACTACTAGCCCAAGCCCCTCTGCCCCTCTGCTCCTCTGCTGACCCCCATAGTTCTAAATTCTTGCCTAGTGCTTGCCAGTTTTAGAAGTCCCATAGATTCTCAGGGACAGCTGGGGACTTGCCAGGTGGTTCTTGCCCAGCAGGTGTTGGCCAACTATACTTGGGCAAATGACTTTTTGCTTTAAGGTCATCATCTAAGATGGGCTCATGGTGTTTCCCAGGAGGTGTAGGTGTGAGGGTGTGGGGCTATATTAGTGGCTGGTAGCTGGGAAAGGAAGTGATGTGTTCTGAACTCAGAGTTGAACGGGGTGTGTCTGCTACATGTCAGATAACTGTTGGGGTTTGGGGCATCGCTTCACAGTTTTCTCTGAACATCTGCTTCCTCATCGTTCATTAAAGAGGCATATGAAACCCTTCCTTCCTGGGCATATTGTGAGGATTTAGTGATCATTATAAAATGCACTGTAGAAATGCAGAATTGGATGTCTAGTCGTAGCTACTCCTGCTTAGCTGCTTGTCATCTGTTCTATGCAGTGCAATATTTGGGCTCCGCTTGCTTGTCAGGCATCCCAACTCTTTGGATCTTTAACCCCTTTTGTTGGCTCTTAGATCCAGACAAGTGAGAGTCACCCTCTGAGGCAGTTCCATTTCACCTCCTGGCCTGACCATGGTGTTCCTGACACCACTGATTTGCTCATCAACTTTCGGTACCTGGTCCGAGACTACATGAAGCAGAGTCCCCCGGAATCACCAGTTCTGGTGCATTGCAGGTATAAACAACTGGCAGTTCATGTACATGAACTCCTAAAAGCAGGGCATAAAAGCGAATGCAATAGGCAGTTGCAAATTCAAGGAAAGTTTTCATTGGAGATCGTAGACTTAGTCCGTAAGCCTTGAGACTCTAGAATAGGGGCTGGTAAACTATAGCTTGTGGGCCAGGTATGGTCAACTACTTGTTTTTGTAAATAAAACTTCACTGGAACATAGCCATACCCATTAGCCTACATATCTGTTAAAGCTCATTTATGCTGCAGATACTTGCTATGTGGTCCTTTACAGAAAGGCTGTGCCCACATCTACCCTAGAGCAATAAGATACTAGCATTAAAGCTAAAAGAATTAATTTAGAGCAGAAGAAAGAAGGGGCTTAATAAATAGATGAAACTTTGCATCTTAGGTTGCAGGAGAACTTGGGAGAAATGGAGTATAAGAAAATTGAGCTAAGTGCTTTATTTGTGACATTTAACTCAAGTAAGTGCAGCCTGACTCACTGAAGTTTCAGTTAAGTAAAAATATTTGTGTTGACCTCAAACAGTGAGAATGGGGAAGATGTAGGTACAGTGGGGACATTGGAGGGGCTCAAGGAGTGGCAACCCACTGTGATCAGCTCATTTCTCCTTTTTGCAGTGCTGGGGTTGGAAGGACGGGCACCTTCATTGCTATTGATCGTCTTATCTATCAGATAGAGAATGAGAACACCGTGGATGTGTACGGGATTGTCTATGACCTTCGGATGCACAGGCCTTTGATGGTGCAGACAGAGGTGAGGCCAGATCTGTATTTGCACTCCTCCCTTCCCATCTGTCTCTAGCAGGTTTCATGGAGTCGCTTGCTAGTGTTAAAATATTACACCTTTCCAGATCTTTCTGGTTCTTCATTGTGAATTTCTTTGCAGACCCTAAGCTGAGCTGGAATTTAATGACCCAGTACAGAGTGGTGATGCACTGTTACAACCACACATTCAGATAGTGTCATGATTCTTTATCTTACTGCTTTTGAGTTTTCAAATCACCTTTTATAAGTTTCTTGACTTGATTTCCAAATTTTCAATTTACAAAATTGGTATCTTTTTGGTCTTTGTTTCTAAGAAGTTTTAGTTATCTTTAAAGTAAGCTAACAGACTTATCAAACATCAGTGTCAGGAAGTAGCACATTGCCACTGACCACAAATGCAGCCATTTGTCCTTACCCAGCCCTGTGGATGTTAAAGGATGTCAATTATCAGAGCTACAGAGGATGGGGCAGTGAACACTTCGTATGTAAAAAACACATATAAGACTGCTGGGTTTGTTTTTCCTGAAATGTTCCTGATAAGCAGCATATTAGAGCACATTCTCATCAGAATATAGTGGGAGCAGGGTGTGCCTGGGCCAGGATGCAGGCAAAATATTAATTTTGTTTCAGGCTGTTGCCTTGTACCAGTTTAGAACTCTATGAATATGTGCTATGTGTTTGAGTCTGGTAGGGAATGTTCTAGAGGTCTGGGTACATTGTGTGCTTTGGGGTGAGCTGTGTGCTTGTGGGAGAAAGAATGAAATTGGTCTTCTGTGTTGGTCAAAGGAGAAATTTCTATTTTTTCCTGCTATAGTTCTATAGAGTGAGAAACACAGAAATCTTGTATCTACCTATAAATTATTCTCTTACCTTTTTTCCCCTTTTTTCATTGTGTGTGTGTGTGTGTGTGTGTGTGTGTGTGTCTGTGCGCGCACGCATGTGGAGGTCAGGAATCATTTTTGATTGCAGTCAGGGTCTCTCAATCAAACCCAGAGCTCACTGATATGGCTAGTATACCTAGCCTGCTTGCTGTTGGGATCCCCTGTCTCAGCCTTTCAAGGCAGGAATGACAAGTAGACTACCAAATCCACCAAGCATATATATGGGCTCTGTGGATCCAACTTCCCTTCTCCCACTTGTGTGGCAAGTGCTTTAACCACTGAGCTATCTTCCCAGCCCCCTCATCTCTCTTTTTTCTCATATTTCAAAAAGTACTTTAAAAACTTTAACAATATAGGACCACATAAAATATATTTTTTCTCATTTAATTCTCTAATCCCATGTCTTAGGGGTAGGCAATGTTTCCATTTTGGCCTGCATTGTGGTTTGAATGTGAAATGTCCTCCACAGACTCATGTGTTTGACTATTTGGTCCCCAGCTAGTGGTATCTCTGGAAAGTTGTAGAGCCTTCGGGAGTAGATTCTTGCTGGTAGAAGTTGGTCAATACGAGTGGGCCTTGAGATTTTATAGCTGGGCCCTACTTCCTGTCTGCCCTCTGCTTCCCACTGTAGACAAAGTGTGACCAGCTGCCATCGAGGCTCCTGCCACCCTGCATTCCTACTATGATGGTCTTTACCCTTTCTGACACTATGAGCCAAAATGAACCCCTCCTCCCTCAAGCCGCTTCTTGTCAGGCAACAAGAAGGGTAACTAATATACAGCATGTATCTTTATAGCACTGTGTGTATACATCTGTAAACACACACAATCCTGTGGAATCTTTTGAAAAGGCTGGATCCTGTTACTTACACACACACACACACACACACACACACACACACACACACAATCCTGTGGAATCTTTTGAAAAGGCAGGATCCTTTTACACATACACACACGTATGTGAAAAGGCTGGATCCTGTTATTTATAGTGATTATGAGCTTTTGCTTCCTACAGTGTATTTTGTTCATGGTTTGAGGCTCAGTGCTTCATGGAGGGAAGGTGTGATGCGAGTGGCTCAGGCTGTGGCAGCAGGAGCTCGAGGCAGCTGGTCTCACTGTGTCTGAGATGAGAAAGTGGAGATGAATGCTGGCTCACACTGCTTTCTCCTTTTCATTTACCCTGGGACCACAGTCCATAGGATTGTGTCACCCACATTCAGAATGGATTTTCCCTCTTCACTTAAACCTCTCTGGAAATTCCCTCATACACACCCAGGAGTGTCTCCTTGGTGATTCTAAATCCCTTCCAATTGATGATTAAGATTAACCATCACACTCCCCTTCAGAGCGGTCTCCACTCTGGTCCCCATGACATCCCCTTTAACCTATCTCCTCTGCAGAGAATTACAATTCACTCTTCATTCTGAACAGGCTCCCTAGCCATGGGACATTTTGCTGGACTTTGCTGTCTGGATGTGTATATGTTTCATTTTCTCCACATCCGTAATCTTACCCTCCCCAAGATTCTGATGTTTCCTTGAGCAGGGGAGGTGAAGGCATCCCTCTGGTTAAGTTTCACTGATGAAGAAAGCTTGTTTTGTGGTCTTGGGTTTTACCAGAATGTTCTTGTATCATGACATGTTTACTTGAACTGTTTGCTGTTGGGCAGATGGGGTTTAATGGTGACATAGTGGTAGTGGTTGTGGTGATGGTGGTGATGTGTTTAAAAGTCATTTTGAGTGCTTATTCCTGGGACCTGGGCTGATTGCTTCTCTTTTGTTCTCTTTCTACCAGGACCAGTATGTTTTCCTCAATCAATGCGTTTTGGATATTATCAGATCCCAGAAAGACTCAAAAGTTGATCTCATCTATCAGAACACAACTGCAATGACAATCTATGAAAACCTCGAGCCAGTGAGCATGTTTGGAAAGACCAATGGCTACATCACCTAGTTCCAAAGCAAACCCTTTCTGAAGTTAACCAGATCATCACACCCACAGCGAAGGGATATGCCCCGATGCTGACATGTTTTCATATGTCTCATTTTTTAGTTCTTTGTTCTCTTCTGTTAGAACTGCCTTGGAGGGTGTGGGGCTGTACGTGTAAAACATGGCAGATGGGAAGTTGGGGCTGCCAGGGGCTGTGGATGGGAGGGTACAAATCAGCTGCATTCCTGATCACCAATAGGAAGGGTTCGCTTTTTTCTTTTCCCCTTGAGAATTGTGGAAAACCAGGAAAAGTGAGCTATAATTTTTTTTTCTTTTCCAAACAGGTTCTCTTTCTCTTTCTTTCTTTCTTTCTTTCTTTCTTTCTTTCTTTCTTTCTTTCTTTCTTTCTTTCTTTCTTTCTTTCTTTCTTTCTTTCTTTCTTTCTCTCTCCTTCCTTCTTTCCTTTCTGTCTGTCTTTCTTTTCTTTCTTCTCTCTCTCTTTCTTCTTTTTTTTCATCTTTTTAACACAGGGTCTCCTTGTAGCCCCCATTGGCCTGGAACTTGCTGTGTAGACCAAACACACCTATTCAAGCTAGACCCCACACAGCCCACCCAGGAAAAGGTAGTTGAAGACTGCCAGTACCACTGGTCTTCCTTCCTTCCTTCCTTCCTTCCTTCCTTTCTTAAAGACTGTTTTATATGATTCACATGCTAAAGCCAGGATTGTGTTGGGTTGAATATATTTTAAGTATCAGAGGTCTATTTTTACCTACTGTATCTTGGAATCTAGACAACGGAAAATACATAATTGTGGGTGATTATCATGCAGGGAGGGGCACATGGTGCCTTTTCTGCATGGGTTTTCTATTTGAACATGTGCCTTTTCTGAATTATGCTTCCACAGGCAAAACTCAGTAGATATCTCTATTTTTATATTGAATCTCATAATTGGAATATACAGAATATTTAAACAGTAGTTTAGCATTAGAGGTTTGCCTTCTCAGTAACATTCCTGTTCTCATCTGATTGGAGGAGGCTCTTCTCTCTGCCCTGCTCCCTGCATACATTGTGCTCCTTTTTTTTTTTTTTTTTCCTTCCCAGTTTTCTCCAAAGACTTCTTCTGTTGGTAACATTCTCAGCCCATTGGTTGGGTGAGAAGAGAAATTTAAAACATCACGTTGAGAATCTCTGTGGGTGGGGCGGGAGAAGCAGAGGACTCATCAGACCACGACAGACACCTTTTCTCACCCTGTCTTCTCCTTTTTCTCATTTCTGTCTTTGGTAAGAAGAATTATTTAAAGGTGCAATATGTGACTTAGTGATTCATGATGCTCTGGGTTTTTAGTAATGTTTTACTCAGGTTGGCATTTTATGTGTCTGTGTGTCTTGTATATGTGTGTGCGTGTGTGCGTGTGTGTGTGTGTGTGCATGTGTGTGTGTGCGTTTTTTTTATAGTGTGGCAATCTGTGAACATTTCAGTGTGAACTCAGTGTCAAATTAACCCCTCCTTCCCCAAAGTCCACTGGCTTTAGTCTCTATCTGCAGCAACACATATTGGTATCTACTGTACATATAAATACTAAACTCTTACAACAGTCATTCCTATGAATTGAGGTGTGCAAAGTTTGATTTGTATCAAAGATGTAATTATTATTTTTAAAACCTCTTTTCACTATACTGCTGCTGTAATTACTTTGATTTTTTAAAAAAACGTAGATTAATTTTTTTTGCTTCAGGTGTGTATTCACCAAGAATTTCAGAATTTATGTGGATTTATTTTATTGGTACATAATCTGTAAACTTCTCAAGGCATTAACATGAAAGGATTTGTGTCTTTTGTTTTATCTTGTGGCTCAGGTTATATTTTGAAGAAGTTTTGAGTTTATTCTCTAGTAGGCAATGTAGTATACAAGGTCTTATGAAGGAATCACCAAGTCCCTGGAGTCCTGTGGCTGTTTTCCACAGTAATCCGTCCTGCTGTATGCTTAGGACAAGGGTGTCCTGTTGAAGATGGGAGCGGGGTCTTCTCCAAGGCTCTTGGCCATGGTGGGCCCTGGGGAGCCTGTCTCCTGATGCTCTGCGCTCTGCTCCTCACTTCACCGGCACTTTGAGAGCTGACTAGATGTGCTCAAGGGTATTTTAGGGTTATGAAGAGTGAACCACAATGTACTTAGCCCTCGATGTGGTTCAGAGGTGTCATGCTGTATGTCTTTCGTTCCCCTTTCCCTTCTAGGTACTGAAAGGATTAAAAGGAGAGGTCACAGCATTGTCATGCTTAGGGGAGAATTTTACTTCTCAAATGAAAATTGCACTTTTTGCTGAATCCTTTGCATTCTTTAGTTCATTCAGTTTCAGGCCCTTCAAGGAATGGGTTGACCAGGGCAGGTTGGGACTCTCGACTCAACTTCACTGGGAGCCTTGACACTGCAAGTGTGAATCAGGGAAGCCATGCTGCCCCCAGGTGTGGCGCAAAGCTGAACATGGGCACATTGCTCCCAAGCCTCCTCTGGTCTGCCCTCATGTGTGCCAACTGTGGGAGGCTCTACAGAAGTGCCTATTCTGACAGCAGTTCTGTGGACCTCCTACTTACTCACCCCCTCTCTGTCAGAAATCACTGTGGTGGGTGCCTAGGGGTCAGATCCCAGGTAGATCCTAAGCTCTGCCTCCACTGACATGGGAAAAGCAGAGGAAAGGACTTTCCCCTAATAAGGTCCTTTAAAAGATTAACAACATAATTATAAAACATACTGTATAAAAAACACAGAACAGGGGAACCCCTCCCTGCTGCCTGTAGGGTTTGGGGTGTACTTAGGTACCAGCCAAGCAAGCTACTCTCAGCCCTCATTCCCAGGAGGAGGGCTTGTGACTGAGAGGTCTGGATTTGCAGATGGGCAGGTTACAGGAAGGTCACCATGCTTTCCGCATCCTGAGGAGGACTGGAGATGGGGCTGCTGGGTGTGAGGCTGCTGGGTCTGGCGAGAGTATTTATAGCACAGTCATTGGAAAGGGAAGATTAATGTGTGGGTAGGAAGGACCCAGGCTAGGGTTGGTCAGAGGCAAGAGGGAGATGCTTCTCTGCATGTGCCCCAAGCCTTTGTAAACCATGAACTCACCGTTGAAGAGTCCAGTGGAATTGTGGGGATGGTGGAGCTCCCTACTCAGATGTGACAGTTGCATTATAGAAAAGAAGCCAGCATGGGATTTGCTGTCAATGAAAGGGTTACAGATTGGTGGCCAGCTGCTTTGGAGGACTTGGGCCATTGTCTTCTAAAAACTTTTCCTCCAGAGCTGAGTCTAGTGATGTTTGGCACCAGTAGGAAATGACATTTGTTGTCTGTCCTCTGTGGCCACATTGTGACCTCCAGCCAGATTTTGGCCCCATGGATCCACTGGATTTGGGCTTTGTGAAGTTGGAGGCTCTGGGGGAGGGGGTAGGGAGGATGTGGGGAGTGGTCAACTATGCAGCTGATTCATATTTGTTTTTCTGGGACAGAGACTCCTAGTTTTCTTTTGAAATGCTTGATTGCGCTTGTTGAGCTAAACAAGTCTAGGTGACTGATGTTGATTCGCCTACAAAGAAGTCCAAATTCTAAGGTTTCAGACTACTGTGTAGCAATTGTGTGTTTAACATACTGTAGCTTTTCTCCCTTGGGGGCACATATGAATAGAACGTGTTGATGTGGACTCTAAACTGTAATTTTCTTGTAACTATTTTGGAATGATGCCTATTTCTAATGTTTGTTATACTTGTACAGAGTATTGCTGTTGGTTGCTCTTTTTTTTTTTTAAGGAAAAAAATGGCCTGAAAACTTTTTTAAAGACTTACAAATACCAAATATAAAATATGTCAACACATTGTGTCTCTCATTCTTTCTCTCTCCGCCTCTTTTCATGTTTGTACTATCTATCAAACGGTTTACTGGTTTATTGTATTCAGCTGGGGCACTGCTAACAAAAATCATGTTTCCTTTTGGGATATTCTATGGCTGCTATTTCAGATACCACAGGCTGGGTGGTTTAAAGAAAACTCTGATAATTCTGGAAGCTGGAGATTAGAGGTCAAGGGGCTGGTCTTCCTAACTTCACATGGTCTTTTGTTGTATATATCTGTGTCTAACCTCCTGAAGATTTTAGTCCTACTGGGTTAGGATCTTATTTTTCTTTGTAATTTCCTCCCTTGCCAAATATAGTCACATTCCGAGGCACTAGGAGTCAGGACGTGAATATATTGGATTTAGAAGAAGTGACTGTGTATTCGGTCAGAGCTGATAGAGTTGCAGATGGATAAAATTACATGGAGTTGTTTTTTTTTTTTGAGGGTTCTATAGAATCTCAGAATTGCTGAGATACTGTGGCAATTTGATCATGTTTTAATTTCATCTTCTGTGACAAACTTATTGTTGAGACGGGGTCTCCTGTAGCTCAGACTGGCTTTGAACACCTATATAGCTGATGATGACCTTGAACTTCTGATCCCTAGTGTTGGGAATAGGCCTGTGTCACCATTCCCCATTTTCTGCAGTGCTGGGTATAGAAACCAGGGCTTATACCTGCTAGGAAAGCATTCTACCACCTGAGCTGGTTGGATGCACCCCTGCTGAAAACTAGATTTATATGACTTTGTTTCAAGGCCTCTCTTGTTCCTTTTGCCTGAGACAAGTTTATTTATTCAGCAATGATTTGAGTGCTTACTACACACCAGCCCTTGTACCTCAGTGACTTGAGTGTTCTGTGGGAGCAAAACAGATAAAACCCCTCCACCTTTGTGAAGGTACATTTTGATGAGGGGAGATGGACAAGAAATACCAGTATGTTAGAAGGTAAAAAACATGGAGAAAAATGGTGTCTTCCCATCTAGATGCACCAACTTGTTCTCACATTATTGGTCCAGCAGTTATAACCTGTCAAGGTGAAGGACCTGTCCCATGATCTTCACAGATCACACACAAGTTTATCTTCCCTGTTTTCTTAAGAGCTGCGTGGTGGTCGTAGGTGAGCATAACATGGAAGGAAAGACACAACCAGATAGGCAGATGGAACAAGTCCTTTTACTGTTGTGTCAGGAATCCCTCAGAACAAAAAGAAAGCAATGCAACATGGTCTGTGCCCGAGTGCTCATACACAGCTCTGTCCTTCAAGACCCTGTAGCATGAGACTCCCAGTCAGAGTATGCATTGCCATTTATGGGAGATGAAGAAACTGAACTGTAAAGGGGAACAGGGTGTAAAAGGCTGGACTTTTGCTTTATCCGGGGCTCAGTCTCTTGGGGATATGAACCCGCTGACTCAAGTGCTAGCACAAATAAACTGCTTCCTAGAAAAATACTTTGGTAGCTTGTCTCTGCACATAGCACTGGCAGCAGTGTGAGTACAGGATATGGTTTGCTACGCCAAGCAGGGCACCACGCCTTGGCATTTTCAGGG